ATGTTTGTGTCGATTTTGCATAGTAACAACATTTCATGTTGCTGTTTGTACTTACCATTAAGCATTTAACATTTTAAAAACAAACCTGAAAGCATAAGAGAAGGGTTTATTTTCTGAGCATCTGTTATGATGATTTTGATATCTGTAGCATGAATAATATCCAGCAGGGACTAAAAAGATGGCATTCTGCTACTGAGATTCTTTTTTTACTGTGTGTGTTTTTAAAGGTGCTTGAAATGAATGCACACAAGTTCAATCAAAGAGAATAATGTCTTCTATCCCATTCAGCTGTCAAAAACCTACTGGATATTATTAGTAAATACACAGAAAGATAAGACAGGAAGGTTTCTTTCTATGGAACAAATGGATAGACTACTATTGGTTCTACAAAGACAGTGGCGCACAAAGAAAAATCAAGCAACAGGGGATGATCTCAGCCCTAAGATGCTGTCCTAGTAACTAGTGAGGAAAAGATCAGAAGAGGAAAAACTGCTGAAAGGAACAAGACAGAAGGTGAAGGATGAGATCTGATCCATCTTCTACAACCTCACCTTCTGAGCACCAGCAAATGCATGGTAGTAACAGGAAACATAAGTCATAATGGCTCTTTCATCAGGTCTGGCAGTGTTTACTACATCTGTGTAGAGAGAAGAGGGTTAACTGCTCAGAAGTTTTCACAAGGTACTTCCATCAGATTATGCTGACAATGCCACCTCAGTGCTGTAAGGATTCAAAATAAATACACCATTAGCCAGGTCGCAGCCCTTTATTGATGTCAGTGCAAAGCTACCTAAGCTTCGGAATCAGTAAAAGATGTAACTCTCCCTGAAGCGGCAAAACGCCTGAAGGCTGAGACTGTGCAGAAGGGTATCGCTACCTTCTGGTCTGTGGAAACTTCCAAGCAGATGGCATGGCTGGCAGATCTACCGAGTTCAGCTTCGCTGGCGCTCCCAAGCAACTTCATCTAAATCACTAGAATTATTCCAGAGTTAAACACGGGCACTGCCAGTCACCAAACAGGAGTGCACACAGTGCGTATCAGAACAGGGTCCACGTGACTGACAGGGCACTGAGACAGACCGGAAACCTGTACGACCCCTGCAGCCCAGAAATACATCTTGGGCCAGGAAAAGCTTGGAAAGTAACAGTATTGCAATCCCTGTGCCAGGCTGTGTTTTTAGTTAACAGCACAAATCACAGGGGAGTTTGGCTTGGCTGGCTGATAGCTTTGTCCCTATTAGAGCAGGAAGGAGTTAGTATAAGGAGGGTGCAATCAAAGTATGGGTACACTGATAAAAATGGACCTTTTCAACACTTAACAGACTAAGGCAGAACAAGGTGGTTTTACACCAATTACACTGAGTGACGAAAGATGATAGTGCAAGCTGCAAGGATGCCTGCCAACATAAGGAGTGGGAAGATAGCGGTGTGAAAAGACCCAGGAACGAGGTAACAATCTCTATTATTAACAGTGAGATTTCTAAGTTCAGAACCAATATAGTTACTGATTTTGCATCTACTGCACATAGGTGTGAACAAGGCTTTGCAAAGTTTCCACTGAGAACAGGATAGAAGTAAAGAGATTAAAAATTGATGGTGAATACTTAGAGGTGTTAGAAGCAGCGTGATTTCATTTCCCCCTGCCAAGAAAGAGAATAGTAAGATAAGGGATAGAATGTGCAGAAAATCTGGTAAGGGAAAAAAGGCTTCTTATACTGTACAAAAAAAGAGGAAAAGAGACTGACAGTAGGAGCTGGTCAATGGTAAGGAGGTAGCACTTCTGTTTATTCCTTGCACAGTATTTCAGAGTATAATAATTACGTGGTTCTTGAAAGGGGAATTGCAATTCAAAAGATGAAAACAACTACTTCTGAAGCATGAAGGTGAAACCAAGAAACCTCTTCAATCCAGGTTACAACCCAGATTTTCCAAATCATCCTGTATTGGCCTAACTTTCCTACCAAAGGCTTCAAGAGGAGTGGACTCAGTAAGTTTGAGTGCTCTGACTAATTCCTATGTTATCACTTATCTACGGACAAGCCACCAGAGCACAGTCTGCATACTTGGAGAAGAATGCTCTGAACTAGTGTAGGCAAACTCCAGTATTTTGGCACCATTTTTTGCATGGAATACAAAAGTTTGCTTATCTTGAAGAAATTCAGGAAACTTTAACACATATTCCTTTGTTATTTGTCAACAGACTCTAATGTTTATTGGAGAAACCAAACATGAAACTACTTGTTAAAACTATCACTGCAAAGAGTTTACAATGAAACAAACAAAAAAAGGCTTCCCTCACCTCTCTCTCTTTCATAGCAGGCATGTTGTTGGTGTATTTTGAAAGTTCGGTACTTCTATTTCTGCCTCTCACTTAAACATTTAAAAAAATGAATATACTTTAAGCCCCTAACAGTTGTATTTCCCTTTATTAGAGTTAGATTTTAGTTTCTTAAAGGCAAGGATTATCTTTTGATCCTGCATTTTGCCTCAAGTATCACAGTGGAACCATGTGCTGACATTGGGTCCAAAGTACTATAATGAATATAAACAGTAACAAAAAATAAGGAATGAAACCTAAAGTGAGTGAAATTATCCAATACATGGGGAAAAAGAAGGAAAACATTGTTTGGAAAAAAAGCTCTATTATGATTCATGTAGAAGGAATATTAAAATTTGCTAGATAGAAAAAAAAAAAAAGGTAGTTTTACTGTCTCCTATTTGTAACACGAACTTAAGTAAGGTACAATTCTCACCTTCTGCATCCAACATCTTTGGGATATCCAAATGCTTTTCAGCAATTTCCATGGCAAGGTTGATATTTCCTATGGGGTCATCCTGCATTAAAGAAGAAGATACAACTAGTCAAAGATAGAAGTTTTTCCTTGAAGCAAAACTACAGTAGGTACATTAAAGCTTATTCTGGTTTTCCAAACTCTAAACTGGAGTTGCAACTATTGCTCTTCAAAAAGCAGAGCCTAGGTATATGAACTTTGGTCTATCTACTGCTATACTTTCAAAAGAAAACATCAGGAAACTATTATGTACCGCTAGAACTCTGCTGCAAGTGTGTTCTGGAGGAGAACATAGATAATGCATGCAGTGTACACTCATAAGTCTGAGCTACTTCTGAATGAGGCACAGCAGTAACATGCAGTCAAGGTCACTGACCCAGTGGGCTGTACTAGACCACTCATCATGAAGTTATTCCTGCATGCTTTGTACCTACTCTATGTTGTATTACAGTGACATGAATTCTACCAAGTTCGCTGTTGGTCAGGTGCATGCATGAGATGAGGGAAGCACCGGCAGAACAGTTCTCCAGAAGGAGCAAAACTTCCCAGTTTTGGCTTGGACAGACAAATCTAACGCCTCTATAAACTCAATTTGAGAGCTGTGCAAATTCAAGAACTTCCTCTGGTTTTTGAGATCTTGATTTTGGTTTTTGAAGGAAAGAGAAAGGAAGCAGTGAGCACAGTTCAGACAAACAGCACACGTTTTATCTTACGCCGCGGACAGCTATTGCTGACAATGGAAGACCGTGTCAGATTAGGGCTGCTCTTAAGGCAGCCTTCCAGTATCAGCTTGGAGAGAAAACAACCCATGTGAAATGGCAGTTCATGACATTGATGCTGCTATTATTTTCATGTATTCACAAACTGCTAAATGATCATAGGCATTCTGAACAATTCCAATGTCTACTGAGAGAGGCTGAGAAAACAGGACGCAGAAGAGCAAAGTCAGAGATGCTGGAGGGCACTGAAAAAATATTAACAGGTTTTCTTCAGAGAATTTTCAGGGCTTTCAGTTGAATAAAAAACTTCCTATACAGGGATCTAGTATCTGGCATGCTTCTTTTGTTACTTTGAAATGAACTTTGTAAGAACACTTACTATGGAATCACAGCAATTATTTAAGTTCCACAGAAGCCTGTTCCTCATGCACATACATATGCCAGGTAACTTAAGGAGTAATGCCCATGACGTGTCCTTCTATAAGTATGTGATACTACATAGCCTTTCCTTTAAAAGCTGCATGTTCAATAAAATGTGTTATGAAGAATATTTTACATTTTGAAACCTAAAAATTTGGGTATAACAGAATACAAAGCCTCTAATCATAAGTTATCACTCTATCATCATTTAGCAGTTTTGTGCGTCAGTGACACTAAGAGAAACTTAATATGTGGACAATATTTAAACTCCATGAACTTACTTTTGCTATTACACAGGATGCCATGCATAATACAACATTTACTAAATGTGTATGCCAAAACTCTTACTGAAATTAAATGGGACAAAAATACACTAAGTCAAAGTGAGACCTACCGACTAGGTTAAAACACTTTGCTTACGGATGAGTGATGAGCACCTCCTATTTGTGTGCTTGGTAGTAAGTTCATGAGTAAATAGTGCTCCACTGGTAAAGGATTTGTTTAAAATCCCAGCAACTTCTGAATAATTGGAACTCTCCATCACCCATCCTTTTAAACAAAACTACAAGCCACAGTAACTAAACACATCTGCTACAGCTACAGAAATACCTCATCTAACTTGTCATAGTCAAGAAGATCAGGCCTGTGTCTATGGATAAGGGCGTTGAAAGCAAGGCCATCTTTCCAGCTATAAGTTCACACAAAACACGTTGGTGAGAAAAGGAAAGGACAGCATGCAGGAGATGAGGAACCAAGAAACAAGACACCAAGACAGCTGTTAATGTAACCAAAATGAGCAGTCAGTCAAACACAGCCAGGTCAGAAAAGCAAGATCTATTTTAGGATTTTTCTGCATGTGCTTTACGTGCCACAGCTCAGCCCCCGTTTGAAACCTGACCTGTTCTTATTTTGGAAACCTCTAAGAGGGAAATACTAATGCTGAAGCAGACCTGCTTATGTTCTATTCCCTTTTCTCAGCACTCAGATACAGGATGGTTATATTATTAAGTCCTTTAGTACTGTGTATGACTTCTCAGTACTGTGTATGACTTCTCAAAGTGCAAACTCAGTCAAACTAACTTCTGTTTGTGCCATGCTTAAGCACGTACACAGAGACAGGTAGCTCAGTCATTCCCTGAATCTGTTTATCCGTAGGAAAGGTTGTATATAGAATTAGAGAACAAGCTGGTGTTGATGGCTAATATTTTGCCGGTGGGCTCAGATCTGCAGTTGTCTTAACAACTGACTAATTTAAAATCTTCAGTGTTTAGGCATAAGTTAATTGAATTTTCATCACTGCACACCTTGGGGACCCCAGCATAAATTTAGCATACATATATAAAGCAGGCTAAGTTTTCAAATAATTTCATATCATTTCTCTTTTCCCTCATCAAAGGCTTTCTTATAACAGTTGAGTCTTCCAGTAAAATCAATTTGTAATGGAAGGGCATGGAATGGAAAATACAGTCTATGATTTACCAGTCTCTCTCATCAATGAAAAGTTGCACTCAACAAATTAAAACCACGATCAAGTTTTCTGATTTACTGGTGTTTACACGGGACCTCAAGATGCCTTTGTTCCAGACAGCAGAAAATGGTACATATGGATTGAGAGTGAGTGTGAAACAGCAACATCCCACTGTCTTTCTAGGTTCTACTTTTCAGTGATGATACCCAGAAATTCTAACATTATTACTTGCTCCCCATTCCTCCCTCTCCAACCCAAGTGACTGGTATCTTTTAGAAAACGTGCATGATGCCATGAGTAGCACACTGTAATAAAATAGTTTTGTAATCCCTGTGAGGTACTACCTAAAGGAGGCTAGGATATCAGTTTTGTTTCCACTTGTCTGCAAGTACAGGCAGAAGTACAATCTAAGAATTGGTGAATAGACTAGCAATTTATTGCATACTCCTGATTACCAAGGGTAGTGTTTGTTCTGAGGAATTTTAGGATTAATCATCATCTCATTGTTTACTGCTCTGCAATCTACAGTAACTTACACCAGATACAAAACAGGATGGATGGTAAAATACTACCAGTGATGGACAATTCCAATCTATTTGATTTAACATCCATATTGGGCAGTGTAAAAGACTTCATCAATCGCCTGGCAGCTGAGGAGCAGATCACTTGCAATTCAGTGCTGAAGTTGTAATGGGAAGGAAAGGACACAGAACAGTCATGGGGTCCTTTTCTCCATGTCACTGGTTTTTTTTGGAGAGATCTTGGAAAGCCAGTCAGAATTAGTATGGACTCAGCTTGTCTTTCAGAAAACATGCTAAGCAAACCAGAAGTGAGCCAAATCACTGCAGGACAGCATGCGTTACCACCCAGACTGATGACCTTATTTAGCTTGGAGTAGTCAATAAGATCAGGTCGGTGTCTGTGGATAAGTGCACATAATCCAAGGCCATCTTTCCAGCTTTACAACAAAAAATAGAATGGAAAAAAAAAAATTAATAAAGTCATGGCATTTTACAGTTTTATCCTTGCTCAAGGCTTAAAAATCAAGCAGGGACTCTCCTGTCAAATCCTGACATTTATGTTCTGTCTACTTTCACCCTCTGAGCTTTTCTGCTCCTGTACTCTTTCTCCTGTAGCACAACTTCCTCTACAACCCATATACATTTAAGGACACCACGTGCAACCATCCCCAATTTCAATTGCTTAATTCGTACAGCGTTCCAGGATAGCTCGGAGTACACGTTCAGCAATGAAAAGTGCATGATCTCCTATTACACTTACATCATGTCTGCAAAAAAATAAAAGGAGAACAAACCTGAAATTACTTGAATTTCCTGACGCAATTGGCTTTTTCTCTGTCAGTTATTTCAGGCAATTTTAATGGCACAACCATGTTGTGCTCATAGAATTATGAAGTCATAAATCAGTTTAGTTTATTTAAAACATTTCACACATCTTGACAGCTTCGATCAGAACTCCTGACACTTCAGTGTGACTTCAGACCTACTACCTTTTGAGGCAAGAATATGCAAAAAACGGAGCTACACATCTATTTGGAAAGATTATCACAGAATCATAGAATGGTTTGGGTTGGAAGGGACCTTAAAGACCATCTCATTCCAACCCCCCTGCCATGGGCAGGGCCACCCTCCACTAGACCAGGTTCCTTGTAAGAGGTTCCTTTCAGCCAGGAGCATTTATTCTGAAAGATACTTTATGTAAACACTTTATGCAATCACTGGGCTTGTGGGCTTGAGATTTTTCCTGTGCAGTGATCATGTGGCACTAAATATGTTAAGACTTTAAGAATCCCTGTCACTGAGATGTCTGGGTAGATCCTTCAAATCTCCTTCAAATCCTCCTTTACATACATTGTATAATTTAAAATAATCCGTAAGGTAGAAATGCATCAAAATGAACACCAAAATAACAAAGAGCTTTTGTCCAAAAAAGTATAGGCTAAAACGGTCTGGATAGCCCATTGTAAACTGGTGCTGTAAGAGCTGATCAACCCAAACATTAATCAAGATATGTCCATTTGAGATGTTTTCCCCATACCATGTATCAAACCAGCACATATAAACACTCAGATATTAAAACTGTAATTTACAGTATACTCTGCATCCATATAAAGCTCTACTGAAATATATCTCTGTACATTCAAGGAAAATAACACATAACAAATTTCAGATCTCTTAACGGCAATACAGGGACCATAAATCAAACAAATTCATCTTCTCTGCAGATGCATGTATGAACCGTATCTTCTCTATCACTACGTGTTTTAGGTGCTGCACGTTAAGAATGAATTCAAAACACCAAAACACTGTAATACGTAGCTCTTACTTTAAGTACTATAAGGGTTTCAGGGAAGGCAAGGTCAGATGGTTAAACAGTGCAAATGGCAAGTCCCATAGTTCAATGAGGTGGGTCACCGGCAGAGCTACAGGACTTAGCCCAGTGAAATCCCAAAACCAGGCAGTCTTCATATGGCCTGGAACTCCCTTTCTAGCCCCTACTGCAGATACACAGAATGGCAAGGCTGGAGCTTCACGAGATTTTCCAACTTAGGCAATGATCATGATTTCGAAAACAAACACGTTTGAAGCGCTGCTCTTGTGTACTGAGTGCATTTCTAGATCCTTATTTATAGTTATGCTACAAAATCATAAAGACTGATTCATCATAATGAGATAGTTGCATGCTTAACACACTGCTGTTTTTGCCACAGTCCATACCTACAGTGGCTCCCATCTGAAAGCAGTCATTTGCCAAGTCACTATGCTGCGGTACTCAGATATTCCCATATACCAGGGATCTCAAATAATGTGAAATGGTCATGCTGTATGCAGTAGGGATTTTTTTTTTTCTTTTGAACAGTAACCATTTGGAAGCCACGGTAAGTAATCCCAAAGGCTAACCAAAAGACTGAAGATACAGCATGAGAATTTGGAAAAAAAAAAAAAGTCTAGTCAACAGTGAAGAGTGAAACTCTCCTATCAAATACATATCCAGACAGCTGTGAGGAAAATTTGACCTTAAATATTTTAGACTGCTTCTACCCCTTGAAATAATGGAAGTTCACCTGAGATGGAAGTTCTGAATGTTCACATTTCTGTAAGGAGCAGTTTTTCTTTGACACCACAGCAGCAGCCCTTCTTTGGCAGAGGTCTCTGTAAAAGACACCAGGGAGTAAAAAAAAGAAAAAAAATATAACAAGTGCTCAAGTATTTAATTTCTTGTCATCTTAAATGTGGTCAGCCACTTGAAACTGGCTGGCATACCAACATTTAATCTTAAAAGATACTCACGCAAATGGACTAATGGATCTCCATTAGAATACAGAGTTCAGCTCAACTAGAACAACTCAGACTACAGTCTCAGCCTGCACAATAATTCTGGGATATTAGCAGATTAAAAAATTATAGTGGTTGGAGAAGCAGAATGTGTATTTGGAGAAAAATACCCACTACATATATAACAGAACTAGACATAAAAGATTGTGTCAGTGCTTACATGAAAAATGCTTGCAGTCTCAGTCCATTTGCCTACGGGAAGGTGTAAGTGCTGAAGAGGTAGAAGGTGTTAAGTACCTTATGAGAAGAAGGCATGAGTACCTTAACTATCTGAACCCTATGGGCACCTGAATGCGTAAGTAAAGGACAAAAAAGATCAAATAGACCATTAGGTCCACATTTAATGTCCCATGGATTATGGGCAGGCCACCATGCAGAGCTTGAATTGAATCTACTTCTGTTGAAAACTGAGATCAGTTTTTAGAATCCTAGACTATTCACTGCATAGAATTACTTTAAGGAGTATTGTAGCTACACCACACTTTTTGGAGCCAGTTACCAAGTTAAAGTGAAGAAAAAAAAAAATCTAAAGCAGTGAGGGGAAAAAGTTATAGAAAGAAGAGGGATAGAATCAGATGGTATTTGCAAAGAATGTGAGAAACGGACAGGACTAAAAACGTATCCTGAAAACAGGACCACCACACAGGGTACAGCATGGTTTTAAGCCACTGAAGCTCAGGAACACAGGCATGTTTCTAACTATAACTGAGAGATACGTCCAGAACTTCTGCATTTAGAAACCTGGCTCGAGGTTTCTGTCACGATAAGGAGAGTAATTACTTTTTCCCTCCAGAAATCGATTTTGACACCAGATTGGGAACTTGCAGTATCATTTTCTGTGAAAAAAACAATTCATTTTTAAAACACTCATCTCACTTGTGCACAATTCATATAAAAATGTCTTTAAACTACTTTCCTAATTATTTAACATAGTTGCATTACTATTACCTTCCACTGAAATATCCTGAATAGCAAAGCGAAGGATGATGGTCCAGATCATACCCAGCGTCATTTTCACATTGCCGTCAACAATTTCTAAGGTGAAAAAGAGAGAGTAATAGTATTTACGATATGATTCCAGTTTTATTTTAGTCATATATTTCTATAAATATATTGTATGCAATGTATTTGTTGTAGTTCTACCATAATTCTTTACCTACACAGAATTCACCTGGGTTCATTTTTCAATGAACTGATGCTTGTGCTATCCTGGCAGCAGGACTGAATATTACTGAGCTTAGGGTCTCTGTTCAGCCCTTCCATGCTAAAAGGCTTCTCTCCAAGTACTTGCAACTCTCTCAAATCTTTACCTTCTAGACTGGCTTTCTTAAGAGAGAGTCTGAGGGGAAATACTTATTTAAAATTTGAACAATATAAGCCTTACTGTTTCCAAATATAAAGGAACTGAAAAAAAATGTGGTCTTACCCTAAATTTTAAGAAACTACAGGACATTAATAATATTATTTTTTAATAAAATGGTACTCAGAAATCCCCCTGTATTATTTAGACATTTCTGAGAACTGCAGCTGTAGTGCCAGCACAGACTAGATATGAAGAACAGCTCAAGAGACACAGCTCCTCCTGGGACCAAGCTACATAGCTTCCTGCCAAGCAGTTCAGAAACATGGCCATGAGGTTGTAATGTCTTACAGCTCTGATGCCTATGCACATTTACGTATCTTTAATATAAAATGGGATTTTTTTTACCTCTGGAGTTTCAATTTGTTTCAAGCCTACTTAAGACTACCTACAACACAGGGCACTAGGAAGGTGCTTTCTCCAATCCTCTCACACATACGGCAGCCCCCACAATTCCAGTACTCCTAACGTTGTAATACAAACAGTGATACCACTTCAGTTTCTCTACACCAAAACACGTACCACCAGGCCCCTTAAATGTGGAGATAATGTTAAAGCGATCTGAAAAGTATGGTGAGAGACTTTGAAGTGCACAGGAGACCATAAAGGAGGCTCTAGCACTGGAAGGGGAGGAGGTGGGACCGAAACAGCAGTGGAGCAGGGAAGGCACCAGCTGCTCTGCTGCTTGAAAGTCACCTCCAGCCTTCCTCAAAAAGTGGAGCAGCTGTGACTGCCTGGGGGCCAGCTAGTGTTCTGGGGAAGGAGCAGAAGGAACTTGCCGCAGCAGGAA